CTCGAGCAGGTTTGTCAGTTTCCTCGTCTGCCTTCTTGGGTCACTTTCATTTCTGCTTATTATTGTGCCGTACACTTCAGCTTATCATTATTTATGGATCTTTGAACTTTATTTAAATGTTCTGCAAATAACAATTCTTGTTACTGCTATTTGGTATGTTCCTTGTCTATTAACAGACAGAAACACCTGCTGTTGCCATGTGTAGATACATACTTTGGACCCGGGACTGTAGAAAATATCAAATGCCATCTGAATGCCGAGGATTCTAAGGCAAGGAATTATTTTTTTTTTCTTTTAATTGCTTGAAATTAGTGAGTATATTTGTGTATTATTAATCTCTTAACAGTGCCACTGAAGGCCATGAATTTGAAGTTTGGCCATTACTTAACTTTAATAGGAAGAAGTGGATGCTGTTTTTGTAAACGCAATTTTGACAGGAATTCAGCAGCGGAATCTGGAGGCAAGTCATGGCTGCTTTCTTTTCTTTTTTTCTTTTCAGGATGATGTTAAGTCGACCTTTGTTTGCTTTCTTTCTTGGTTGAAAATTTTCTCACATTTTCATTACTAATGACAGCGAGCATGGGGAAAACCAGTACTGGATCGTGTGGGCCTTATCATAGAAATATTTAATGCTCATGCACACACAAAAGAAGCAAAGCTTCAGGTACTATTGGTTGCTTGGACCCAGGTTACTTGCCTATATTTCAGTTTGTCATATGTGAAACTGCTCTGGTGGAATTTGTTTCTATAGTTTTCTTTCTTTGGGCCTTTGTAGGCTGAGTTAGCAGCTCTCATGTATAAAAAGAGTAGACTTGTTCGCGTTCGTGGTCCTGATGGTCGCCTTACTTTTGGAGCAACTGGAGAGGCTGAAGTTGTCAGCGCACGAGGGTGAGTTAGTGAGCTTATACTAGATGATGTTTACACATCAAAGTCTGTGAACATCTCAGCAAGTAGAATTGAGGGTAAAATATTTTTTTAGCAATTTCGTTTTCTGAGCATATATTATGGATTTATATTATAGTTGTTTTAGGTTGAGACATAACTTAGTGTTTTTCACTAAGAAAATTGAAAATTGAAAATTCTTGCTTAGTGTTTTACTCCATAATTTGGTGTCTTTTGATGTTTGGAATTGATTTTACACAATGTAAGCCCGTCTCAATTTAGTTATTTCCCTGGTGAACATTATGCTGTCTTTTTATACTTCCATGATGTGGAATGAATATGTGCTAAATTTTCTAAATAAATTAAGAATTGTATGTCTGGCTAATCTACAGTTTACTGTAATAGTATGGTGAGATTAAGTGTGATGATTAAGAACCCTAGTTATGATATTTGAGTTTCCTAAATAGGTAATCAATCGTAATTTATCCTACATCATCTTAGTTTACCACAGAAAAAAAATACATGCTAATTATTACTAAGAACAGTTTCAGTGAACCTCTAGTTGGAAGAAGCAGTACTGACAGAATGACCAAATCCAGGAATTTTTTTGTTTGGCTTGATCCCAGTTTGGAAGTGGGACGTGGTTCTAGCAAATGATTGTTTTTGGATAGATGATGATGCAGTCTCACTCTGTCCCTTCCACCTTTTGACTACAGTCTAAGCACCCTTGATGTTGTACTTGGAATAATGAGTCATAAACCCTTAAAAAATGCTGATGTGGATGGTTTTATTTTCTTTTGCAGGAGAGGAAGTGGGGGGCGAGGGTTTATTAGTGGTGCTGGAGAAACCGAACTTCAGCTTCAGCGACGAAGGTGCAAACCTTGATGCTAATTCATGAGTTCTTGTGATTCTTTAGTTATTTTTACTTGGTGCATGAAAATTCATTGCTGTAATATACTTGTCTACCTTACTTGGTAAATTGAAAGGATATGTCCCTAGTTTTATTTCTCTGGAATTCTGGGATTTTAGCATCACTACTGAACAAGTATCTACAACCTTTGTGGTAAGTAATATCTGAAAATTTATGGGAATATATATATGCAAGTGCTGGCATTCTCAACTGTCTGTATGTAATGTGATTCTTTGGCTTTATGTAACGTGCTGAGGGTGCTGTTAAGAGAAGTACTTGATGATCAAGCTTTTTCTCTAATTTTTGCAAACTAGAATTTTAACGAGTAATTATCTTAGAATTACAAATTCAATGATTCTGTGCTTGGTTGGATTATATTTATGTTTTGACGAGCAGTTTTTGTAATATTTTATGGTGCTATATGATTGCCTGGTAGTATCTGATATGATCTTATCTTCATATATGTGGTTTTCCAATGACCATGCTTACTTCTTTGTAATCAAAACTTACTAGCCCATTACAGTGCTATTTATTTATGGGTTTGAAGTGGATATCAATCACCATAATATGTCACTAGCATAGGTTTTAATCTTATGTCACGGACACTGAAATAACTCTGTTATGTCAGAATTTTAGAACGGCGGAGTCATTTGTTATCCCAAATTGAAGAGGTTCGCCGCACTCGAGCCTTGCAGCGCGCTGCCCGCAAGAGGCGGGGTGGACTAGAGGGCCAAAGCTTAGCCACTGTTGCTGTTGTAGGTTACACAAATGCTGTAAGTAGTCTGGATATGTTCCTTTTTGACATGCCAATGAATTGCATATTTGCTCATTTGAAATAACCTTTTTCTTCTATTGATAGGGGAAATCTACAATGATAAGCGCATTATCTGATTCTGATTTGTACAGTAATGAAAGGTATTTCTATCTCTTTAAGATTTTTTGGTCCTTAGTTTAAAACTTAGTTATTATATGCTATCTTGGATAGCTTGTTTTTGCCTAATTGGTGTGGCATGGACTTTCAATACGTGCAGATTGTTTGCCACATTGGATCCTAGACTGAAAAGTGTTTTTCTTCCTTCAGGGTAAGGTGACTGACAATGGAACAGGTCATTTTTGCTTTGCCTTAATATTTCTAAACATAAGAATTTATTTCTGTATCTTTCAAGATAGTTATCTTTCAGATGAAGAAATAAGATCTTTGCTTTTTTCTAATTTAATTGTATAATGATTAATATCCAGGAGGAAAGTGCTTCTTAGTGACACTGTGGGATTCATCTCGGATTTGCCAGTGCAGGTAATCAAAAAGCTTCTGCAGTTGGTTTGTTGGTTTGTTTACTTTCATTATTCTTCATCCTAATCGCTGGTGAATTTATTTTATAGTTAGTGGAAGCATTTCAGTCAACTCTAGAGGAAGTGGTTGAAGCTGACCTCCTCGTGGTATGAATTACTTGTCTGCCCTATCATCTGCCGGACAGTCAGAATTTTTTGGTTGATCTATATGTACAATTTAAAGAGACTTTGTTCACGGCAAATCCTTTTTCTTTTTGGTTCATGTAGAGCAAATTATACACATTTGATGGGTTACCTAATATCTGTGCAGCATGTAATAGACTGTACTGCCCCTAATCTTGGCGAGCATCGATCAACAGTATTGCAAGTTCTTCAACAAATTGGAGTATCAGAAGAGAAACTTGAGAATATGATTGAAGTCTGGAATAAGGTACTAAAAGTACAGTCCTTGCTTCCAAAAGTTAAAAGGTAGTTAATAAAAAGAAGTAATTATGGAGTAAAGTAGCAATAATATGCTTCCATCTACTCAGATTGATTACCAAGAAGAAGAAGAAGAAGAAATGGATTATAAATATCTAGAGGATGGAGAGGATGCTAGAGCCAGCAGCTTCTCAGCAGAGGAAGAAAATGACATGGAATCCAAGAACTTAGAAGGCAAATTGATTAATAATTGTAGCAATGATAGTGCTGATGGTAACACTGGGATTGTGTCCGAGCTTTCTGCTGGCGATTCTAATGAGAACCCAAAAGAGGATAATAAGGAAGATGATTATTCTGATGGCTGGCTGTTGTCAGGAGATGACGATGAAGACACAAATAATCAAGATGATTCTCTCATGTGTTGGGAAACTACGGATGGCAAACAGAGTGACTGCTCTGTTTCTCCTTCCATAGCAAAAGATTTGCATCCCCAAGCTCAACACACTCCGCACGCCAAAATATCTGCCCTAACGGGAGTTGGTCTGCAAGAGTTATTGGAAGTCATCGATGAACAGCTAAAGGATCAGGACAGGAAGGTCAAGTCCCAGAGAGTGGTGGACTGTACAAGTATATTTGATCGAAAATGGAGACCCCCTCGGAATCAAGATGTGGAAGTAGCTGTTAAAGAGTGAAAGATTGTTACGCTCGTTCCTGCACAACTAGAACGACCTGAAACCAGAGCAAACATGTTTACTGGCTTTGTGTATTGCTGTAAACCTATCAGAAGCACAGGGCTGAAGAAGTGGCAAATTCAGATTCTCAGAAATTCCTGTCACGATTTTTGGCTTAGTCGTATGTATCATTAGATTTGTTTCTAGTTTAATATTTTAATTTCGTTGTTATTTTAAAATAAGTAAATTAATAATTTACTCTCTTGAAAAATTATATATTTATCAAAGTATAGAGTATAATGTACCACGATTGAACTATGAGAAAACAAAGAATTGTAAGAGAGCGCGGGTTTGAATAAATTTTTTTTAATAGTAATACTTAGAAATAAGAAAAATAAGAGGATCTAATCATTTTTTGTAATTTTTTTTTATAAATTTGATAAATATTGGTTAATTATATATTTTATTATAATTTTATAATTTAAAATATTATTTTTTATTTAATTTCTTTAAATTTTATATTTAAAGTTCCGATTAGATTTATTTATTAAAAAGAAGTTGATTCAGTGAATTTTTTGTATTTTTTTCAGTAGTATCGGATTTAATTCAATACATAACATAATGTTAATTTTTTTATAAAAAAATTGCTCAAAGAGTATTAAATTTTGAACATTATTTAATAATAAATTTTTGAATTAATTTAAATTTTTTTTTGTTTTGGATCTACCCTTCTTAATATCTAAATTATGATTTTTTTTTAATAAAAAAAAAACCATTCATTTAAAATGAGACCTATAGATTTCCCAATTCCCATTTTTTTATAAATTTTAATAACAAGGTTGTCTGTTTTGTTATTACATTAAGCAATTGTAACATGTGCGGGACACGTGATTTTTGTTAAACGACATCGTCTGGATGCCATCGCCGACATACAGGTGCACGCGCTAATCAGTAGTCGCATCTCGTGACGCGCGTTGTTTGAGACTTCACGGCCACAGCATACTCATTACTTTTTAAGTTATTATTAGTTCATTACTCCCTGACGCGGAGATAAAAAGGTCGTCCTCCGCTTTGTAGTGGATAAAGGCTGAGCTCAAGCTGAAACAGGCTTTGACTCAGATCCTAGATCCAAAACACATTGGATCCTGAATTGAGTCGATCATTTTCTTGATCTAAGGTGAACTCCTTTGTTTCCTCAGCTTTTGATTTTGTCTCTCATTTTTCCCGTTTTATCTTTGAATTCGTACTTTTAGATGCTTGAATTCCATCTCCTCTTCTGCACTAAGATTGGTTTGTCGGATCTGTTCGCGCTTTCTGTTTCCATTTCATTTCTTGCGAAATTCGGCTCTCTCTTTGTTCAATTTTAGTGACCTAAAAAAGCTGAGAAGCATTGCATAGAATCTGTGGTTGAACTAGTATATACTTGTCTTTTTGGGTTTGTAGTTTAACTTGTTCGGGGCTATTGCAGTCATGTCGAGGAGGCAGGTGAGCTCGACGCGCCGTTTCGTGGATAGTGGTAGCTTTCCATTTTCAGGAGCCTTGCACTCCAAATCGCGATCTTCTCCTTTATTATCAGTTTGCCTTGTCCTTGTCGTACGTTATTTCTGATTTGGTTTCTTTATAAGCTTTGAAATTATGGTTGTTGAGTGCTAGATCAGCAGAAGAATGATGCAATTGTAAGATTATGTTGTAATTTCTTTTTCATTTTTTTGAACTCCCAGGGAGGATTGCTTCTGCTTGGTTATGCTTATAGTGGACCAGGTTTGTGGATGGTTAATGATTTAAGTTGGCTTGTTTCTGTATTATCTTATTGGTTTGAGATTTCTACGTGCTCGGTTTGCTATTAGCATTATAGTCCTGTTATTTATTGATGCAGGTGTGTTTGGAGGTGGGAAGGAAGCAGTTAGCAAGGTTGAAGGTAAATCAAGTTTGCCTTTACTTCCCAAAGTATTGGAGCTCCTCAAATTCCAATATTGTCCTAATAGGATTTGGAAGGCTGCTTTTTTAACTGGCAGAAACTTGAAGACCATGTATATATCATAAGGTTTCAGTTTAGTATAGATAACTAGTATTCTTTTAAAATAGTAAGGAGGTCAATGGGAGAGTATTGGGTTGTCAAATTGTAGCTTTCTGTAACCTAGCAAATCCTGAGGTGTGCTTAGGCATGAAATAAACTAAATAGTGTTTGTCAATTAATAGAAATAAGTAGTTATTCTTTGTTAAAGTGAGGTCAATGATAGGGCATTAGTGTGTGAAACTAAACCTAAACAGGATAAGGTTTGTACTTTATTATAAATATGTAATTTTTTTTTGTGTGAATAATATGGTCAATGAAAGAGTATTAGAGTGTGAAAACGAGGGCTTCTTGGAACTGAGGGAATTGAGAGGTTTACTAGGGTTTAATGGCATATGAGGATTTTTCTCATAGAGGAATGTTGAAGACTAATTGTAAACTAAATAGTGTTTTTCTGTTTCATATGCATAGGTGGCTATTCTTTGTGAATAGCAAGGTCAATCAGATAGCAAATACAGTTTCTTGTAGCCTAGGGAATTGAGAGTATACCAAGGTTTACGGATGTGAGAGAGAGTTTCTAAATGGTTCGTGGTTATTTTGCTGTGTCTTATTTCTTTAGTTTTTTAACAATTTCCAATCAGTTATTACTTGTTCTGAATTTAGGTTGTCCATTAGGCTATGTTTAGAAGACATGTATTCTCTCAAAATAAGTTGAAGAAAGTGTGAATTTCCAAATCTATTTCACAAGTAAAGTTTATTTGTTCTGAACGTATACTTAAGGTCGCTTTATTTCAAAAAAAAATATATACTTAAGGTCCCTCTATATTTTGGTCTTTGTTAATGCTATAAGATGTTGGAAGGACTGGGCATGATGTTCTCCAAAGGTGGTCCAATAATTTTGTGTGTTTTGCTGCTTGAAATTTTTAAACCATAATATCAGGAAGTTGAAATTAATTTTTCTCAAGATCTTTTTTAATCATGAAAGTATGATTCTGAAGGGTGCTAAGCACCTAAATTATGAAACCTAATTTCTTGATCCAGGATCTATATTGATGTTTCTTAGTTGATAATGGAATGTTCATCTCGATAGTCTTTGAGTTCCCTCCACATTCCCTGTTGGGATGAAGGGAAGTAAGGGACATCTTTCAAACGAACAAAGTCAATGAGACAAGAGGTTGGTGCTTCCTTCTTGATCAAGGATTTGGACTTATGAAGTAGAGAAATCTATTGACAGAAAAATCAGAAGAAGTTGCTGGTGTAAAATCAAAACATTGTTGCCTTTACATTGGTAATGCTTTTTAGAAAAATCAGACTCTTTAGATAACCAGATACAAATTTTAATAACCAGGTCAAACTCTTCTTAGAACTAAAATTCTTTCATTTTTTAACTTGGGGGAGTGTAATGTTGTTGGAATAACACACACACATATTAAGCTGGAAATGCTTGAAGTTGAAACTTGCCTGCTTCAAAAAGATTAGCCTTCTAATAAGTAGCAAAAAATCTTGATAAATTGGTGAGATTTAGTCTCCTAATTATTCAAGAAGCAAAAGTAACTAGAGGAAAGATTCAAAATTCCCAGAAATAGGAAGATGTTACTTAGGTTTAATTGTTAATAGAATTAAGCACTTAATTCTTTTATCAATAAGTTTACTGTCTGTCTGGTCATTTCTTTTCGAAGTGTTAATAGGAGTTTTGAAGTTTTTGTTTCTTTCACAACATTAATTGAAAGTTATTTACCCTGTAGGTGACTATTCATGCACATTAGAAGTTCAGAGAGCAATACCTATTCTAAAGAAAGCTTATGGGGACAACATGCGCAAGGTTTTGCATGTGGGTCCTGATACATGCTCAGTGGTCTCTAAACTGTTGAAAGAAGAAGAAACAGAAGCATGGGGCGTGGAACCATATGACACAGAGGACGCAGATGCACAGTGCAAAAAACTTGTGCGCAGAGGCCTTGTTCGTGTTGCTGATATTAAATTCCCGTTGCCCTACAGATCAAAGTCATTTTCTCTTGTTATAGTGTCTGATGCACTGGATTACCTGTCCCCAAAGTACCTGAACAGGACTCTTCCGGAATTGGCTAGGGTGGCTGCTGATGGTCTTGTTATTTTTGCAGGTAATTCACTTTAATTTTAAAGTTACCTCCAAACCTATAGGGGCATGTGAATCTAATAATCTTTATCAGTATTTTTTCGGTAATGGCAGTTTTTTATATATCTGGATAGAGATGCATGTTCTTGGTCCTACAGTTTGTGGAAATAATCATGATAATCTTCTTCTCCTCTTTCCCTTTGGTACATAAGTGAAAACGTTATTTCAATGCTGGGAACCTTAAATATAGTAATCCTGTTGTTAGCCCATGCATCAACAACTTCAATGGCCTCTTTTTTTTTTTTTAATTTGGTTTGCATATGTGCACACAACAGAGCAGCCAAGTGCCTTCATACTATTGCATTAGTCCTGGATTATCCTTCAAAAATTGAAATCAACTGTTGATAGTATCTCTTATGGTTAAAGAGCCTTTTCATAGGCTTTAGGAAGAGTCAGAGGTGCTGACCTGAATTATCTTTTAAATGGATACAGTATTTTTTTCATAATTCTGCTACTCGTTAAAGTTTTTTTAAAATAGTATTTTTAAATGTTTCAAGATTTTGGTATGTTTAAATCAAAGTAACACAGTCCATCAATCTCTCCCCTTCTGGAGCTTGAATTACTGGTTTTGAATTATCAAAATAACTATTTTTGCTATTTCTATTTTAGGTCACCCTGGTCAACAAAGAGCTAAAGTTGCAGAGCTTTCCAAGTTTGGTCGACCAGTAAGTTCATCTACTGATTTTATGATTTAATTTTTCTTATTGGTAGTCCAACAGAGGTTAAAAAAGGACCGTGACTGAGTCACTGAACATCTATCATACTTAATTGATGTTTGGTCTTTCCTATTTTTGTTATCCTTGATTATTGTTCATATATATCAGTCTGGTTAGTTTGCAACTTAGGTTCTGTCACATCAGGCCTAATCTAGTGCTTTATCAATGCAAAATCTAACTAGATATTGTACTCAAGTGTTATAATCATCCTTAGACTTAAGTTGCATGGTGTTCTTCCATTAAAATCGGACAATGAATTCCACAGTTGTTCTGAAGTGGCTTCACTTTGATGCTCTTGTTAATAATCATTTCAGTATTAGCATCTTGTCTTCTTCCAAATTAACGATTATGCTTGATTTGCGAAGGCTAAGATGCGGAGCTCGTCATGGTGGATTCGCTTTTTTGTCCAGACAAGCTTGGAAGAAAATGAAGCTGCTATTAAGAAATTTGAGCAGACAGCTACCAAGAGGTCATACGTACCAGCTTGTCAAGTCTTCCACCTCAACCCGTACCATTAATATGAAGAAATATTCCACAAGATGAAAGAACGTCCATAAATTTTTGTGCAACTAATTTAAAGGGAACAAAATGTTTCTGCGCTGGTACAAACACACCCTTCTTTCAAGAAATTAAATTTGGTAAAGATAGCTGTGTTGATTCTGTCACTGTCAGCTTATGTTAGTCTTTATAAAATTTGCAATCAAATATTTAATCTGTTGATTTTTCCTTACATCAACATCATTTCCATGATTAGTGCTATATATATTTGTCGAGCAGAGTCAGTTACTCTTTCTAATGGAACATTCATAATGATTAGGCCATTGTTAGTGAGAAAAAAATAAAGATTTGGTGATTTCTACATGGTACATTTTGAATATTGTATGTAGTACAGAATTGGTGAAAATTACAACAATTCTATGGAATCATATTCTCTGCAGTGCAGATGACAAGAAGATTTGCTAACTTGATTCTTCACAAATTTCTGACAAGCTCTTGCAATGGGCTTGGCTGACTGCCTATGCACGTTGTTTTCTTTAACTAAGACTAAGACTTGGCTCTCTCATGAACTTAAAACTGCTTGATTTGAATAATCCATTCTATGTCATCTGTAGCATGCTTCATTTTAGCACTCGGGATGATGATGCTCACTAAATAGGTCAATTTTAACTAGAGAAAATCTTCATGACCCATAAATCACCAATAATCCCCGCACGAGCACTTTCCTTCCTTGAAGCTATGAAATCTATGGGCATCTCTGACAGTGATTTCCCTTCCAGAAATAGAAGAGATAAACTTGATAGCATTATGGCAATCCCCACAAATTCTCAAATTCTTCACTACAAGAATAGGTTCTCCATCTTTTGTTGATAGCAGCCCAAATGCAACCGCTAGTTTCTCACTGTGATATCCAAGCCTAATCTCTTTTTCTCCTTTCCCCGCTTCATCATCTTTAACCAAAGCCCATCTCACATCAGGAACATACCCAGCTTGCTTCATCTTCCTCCACATCTCCTCCAAATATTCATGTATTTGCTTTATCATTGGGTGCGAGCTATCCTCAGCAACAAACACATGAACCCTTTTCTTCACTTCAATCCAACTACAACCCGGTTTCTTTTTCACACCTCTGTCTCTCATGAGCTTTCTAACTGTTGCTACATCTTCCCATTTGCCTGCTTTAGCATACATGTTTGCTAGCATGACATAAGGGGCAGCATTTGATGGTTCCAGGAGTAAAAACTGGTTGGCTGCTTTAACTGCCAACTCCATGTCCCCATGCATTCTGCAGGCACCGAGCAATGCAGCCCAGCCAATGGAGCCAGGGTTGAATGGCATTGTCTCGATGAGTTTCTCAGCATCAGTCAGCTTGCCTGCTCTTCCAAAAAGATCAATCATGCATGAATAATGTTCTGCTTCTGGTTCAATCCCAAATTTCTCCTTCATCATGTTGAAGTACTTCTTGCCCTCGTGAACTTTTCCTGTGTGTGCGCATGCAGAGAGGACTGAGATGAAGGTTATACTTGTTGGGGCGAGATTGACCTCCATCATATGTTCAAACAGAAGCAATGATTCCATTCCAAGACCATGTTGTGCATAGGCTGCAATCATCGAATTCAAAGAGACAGTGTTGTGCTCTGCCATCCTGTCAAACAACCTTCTTGCATCCCAAAGGTTTCCACATTTGGAATACATGGCAATCAGTGCGTTATTCACTGAAATTCTGTTTGAAGGAATGTCTGATTTGATTGATAAAGCATGAACCTGTCTTCCCTGAGAAGGTGATGACAGATTAGAGCACGCACTGATGACACACACGAAACTGCAATCATCAGGGCGATAGCCAACTCTTTGCATCTGCTTGAAACACTCAAGAGCTTCCTCGGAGAATTCCTCATTCTGCGAATACCCAGAAATCATTGTGTTCCAGAGAACTAAATCTGGCCAAGGAATCTCTTCAAACACCTTCTTACAATTCAACATACTACCATTCCCACACTTTGAATATAAATCAATCAAACCACTGCCAACGTGAGAATTCTGGTGAAACCCAGTCTTGATCAACTTTCCATGGAACTGAAGCCCCCCAACGAGATCAGTCAAGCACGTAAAAGCAGTCAAAACACTCGCCAAAGTAAACATGTCAACAACGAAACCTCTACCAATCATTTCCTTGAACAATGCCAACGCTTTAGCTCCCTCTCTGTGCTGCCCATAAGCCACAATCATCGAATTCCACGAAACCTCATCTCTAAGCTCCTCTCCCATCCCATAAAACACTCGCTTCGCCTCACCCAAAAATCCATTCCTACCGTAAAGCGTAACCAGCACGTTATTGACCGAAACATAAGAATCAAACCCACCTGCAACCGCGAAACCATGCAACTGCCCGATCAATCCCACATCATTTCCACAAGCCGTGATCACACCGGAGAGAGTGAAACCGTCCATGTCAAAACCCATATCTCTCATGCTCTCAAACAAGCGAAGCGCTGGCTCAGTATCCCCGCAATCGGCATAAGCGGAAATGAGGGTGTTATAAGAAACGATATCTGGTTGGGGAATTGTGTCGAACAGTTGGTGGGCGATACGGGTTTGTGATTCTTTCGCGTAGGCGGCCACGATGACGTTGTAGGAGAAGACATTTGGTTGCGGGGTTTGTTCGAAGACGTGGCGTGCGGTGCTCAGGCGGCCACATTTGGAGTAGAGGAGGATGAAGTGGTTGGCGATGTAGGTTGAAGGAGGGACGATGGACTTGAGATAGAGAGCATGGAGGGACTTGCCTCTGAAAATCTCTCTCTCGGCTATGCATGTTTTCAGAAGGAGAGTGAAAGTTTTGAGGGTCCATGGGATTTGGGTCATCTAAGGTTTTTATTATTTTGTCCACCTCCAGATACATTAAGCCTTTAATATGAACTTCCCCTTAAGCTTTCGGCCCTTGCAGCTCCTGCTTAAATTTTATATTTCACACATAAATATATAAAATATTAATTATAATTATTCTTAAAAAATATAATTTTATACAATGTGTTTTATTTAATCCATATTTAAAATTAAAGAAAAAAGAAACTTTTAGCTCAGAAAAAAGAAGGCCCATTCTACTTCTGTTTGGGCTTGGATATTTCACCAGATCAATACTTAGGTTTTAAACTTCACTCGTATGTTTTCATGAATTCCAACATATCCATCACGTGGATAGAAAATTATCCAATGAAAAGTTATACTCAAATAAAAAAGAAAATGGATTATTATATATATTATTTTATTAGAAAAATATATTTTAGTTATTAATTTATTAACTAATTTTTGAAAAAAATTGGGACCAATTTATCATGAAACGAGCATTTGTCTTGTTACAAATTAAAGTGGGTCAGGTAGAACCAGTAGGCCGTAAAATCTGAAACATGCCAACGAAGGAAGGAACAGAAGAGGCCCAGCAGCCATTATTCATTAACATTGGGCTCATTTATTACAAACAGTACAAAACCCACATTTCATTTACTCTTAATTTCTCACCAACCGATTATCTATTCCCCTAATAACATTACATTTAGTTAAAAAATAATGAACATTAATTTGGAGTTCTAACTTTAAAATTGATCGAAAAATTTAATTGTCATCCCAAAATTGGACCTCTCACAGTTATGGGATTTGAGTCTATTGGGTATTATTGTGTTTTGCTTCTTTTTTTTTTTTCAAAGTGAAAATAAAAAAAAAAACAGGTTTTGAATATCAGCACAATTTTCGTTCTATAAACATTATGGTTGTACTGATATCTACATACGAATTAATGAGTAGTATTGGACTACTCGTAGGACAATGTACTAATTAGTTGTAGAGACAATTTCTGCGCCCACCATAAAAACATTTTCAATTATATGTTATGCAGACAATGCAAGAGAGATTAAATGGACACACACACACACACACACACATATATCTATATATATGCATACATATACAGCAACTAGCCAGTTTGAACCCAATTGCATCAATCTCATAATCATGAAAATCAGTTTTTTTCCCCTAATGTTTTTAAATCGTTGAAAGACCAGAGCTTATTGCAGTCTTCTTGTCTCGGATTGTTGTCTTATAATTGCATTAAGTCAAAACAACACATATTTGCTGAACATGCATTGAAGCGTATGTATTCATCTAGATATAGGTATACAGGACATATGTATATTATACCCATAATAAAAAGGCAATCGTTTTCAAGCTAGGCTGGAGTGGGTGGGCAGGTGAAGAGAAAAAAGGGCAAGCCGCATGGGTTGGTTTTGGGATGCAGCAAAATAATTATAATCAGAGTCTTGTTTGCTTATACATAACTGATAAAAATGGCCCCTATATATTCATACACTCTTTGTTGCTCCTCTGTACTCTTACCACTTCTGACCCACTTGGATGTATAACAATACAGCCCAATACCCACTTACTCTCACTGCAATATATGTCTGCATAAATAGTCTGGATTTTTCCTCATTAATTTGAAAATATTAACTCAATTCAGTTTTAAATATTCTTAGACCTACAACCAGAGCTTCCTTCTTATTACTTTTAATTACTCGTTAATTTACTAACCATTGTTCATCCGAATCATTGTTATTTTCAACTTTTTTCTAAGAAATTATAGGTTTAAATTGTATTTTCATACGTGTTATTCTTTAAAATTTATTCTTATTGCACTACAATCTGCGTATATATTAAAAAAAGTATTCATTAACTCTTATTTTTTTTTTTTTTTACTACGGAACCTTCAACTAAACAAATTACAGTCATCTTAATTTGTCATTCTTTTGAACATGTACTTCTTTATGTTTGATTTTGGGTATTATATCGTGGAAACACATAACAATTGAACCATGCAATGCTCGTTAATTTTTATTTGGTTTACATTAGTACACTCATTTTCACGTATTAAAATTTAAAATTTTACTAATAGGTAAGATGGTGCTAAAATATATATAAGTTAGAGATTTTTATCAATTTATGTTGCTTCAAAAACTCAGTTGAGTTGATGTTTAAAAGTAAAAACTTAATATACATATATATATATATATATAATTGGAGTATACAGTAATATATGGGTGTATATACTATAAGTATTAGTGTGATTGCTTTTTGAAATTGGACAAAAATTCTAAATCTCTATCTAAGAATTTGTTTGAATATTATATCATCTCAATCAACAAGTAGAGCAGAAGTCCTGTAGCTACATGGAGTAATTACAAGTGTAATTAATACAGCGGATGATGCATGGAGCACGCTTCTTAGTTAAATCTCTTTCGAATTGTCAATTTTAATTAGCTTAGAGCAACAAAGTTTGAGACCACCATATGTATATATATATGTATATATATATATATTATATATTATATCTTAAAAATGAGTAGTTTCTATAGTTTGCCAAAAGCTTTGTGTATTGACAAATAATATAATAATATCATTCTCTCTTTTGAACAAAAATAATACTATATTATAAGATAATTCTATATTTCATATCATTTGAATTTGGATAAAACTTCATATAAAAAATTAAAAAAATATTAATTTTAAATTTAATATTTTTATAAATTTTTTTTTAGATGACATGCCAAATTTACAGTAATAAAATTAATTATTGTTATGCATTTTGTATAGATTATGATTAATTCAATTGCTCGACTCAGTAGCTATGGTAATAGGTTTCGTTATGCATTTGTATACTTCAAAACAGTGAGGAACTAGTTGATTAGTTCATCCAAGCCCCTACATACACTATGCCTTATATATATATATATAGAGACATATATATGACGTCATTAACATTCTACACTAACATTATATACATATACATGTATATGTATATATGTAGATAAAATTTTTAAGAGGAGCAGCCAATGTTGATGAGAGTCGAAGTTTGAGATTTTAATTGAAGTCTGGAGAAAATGAAGTCGGGTCTATCTATTAATTTCTCATTTCTTTTTCGATAATGAGTTTATCTAATAATTTCAACCTCTCTGATCTGATCTTATTCATACAAATTTTTTCCATGCAAAACTCGTTGACGTCCATACTACGACATTATCATCATCCCCATCATCAAATACCAGCTAGCCTTTGACTTCCTTGCTTTCCACGTACTTTTCAGACTTAAAATCTCAATATGTCTCCAAATCAATCCAGCAATATGTGCACAACAAACTTACATATACAAAGCAAGAAGCCAAAGAAAGAAAGAACTATCCTACACATGCATGACGCATCTACATATACCATAATAACATGATCGTACCATCTGCCATTGTTGAACTTGCAAAAGGCCTTTGAATTCAGTTTAATTTTGGGTTATTAAATATCCATACATGATCAATCACCAAGTCAAATGTACGCTTTATTCTTGCCATGGGATTTAAGTGTTGAGTTTCTACTAATTTTAGCCAAGTGGGTAAGCGTAGTTGTCGTTGACCTCAATTTCTACTGAATAATTTTAAACATATATACATACATATATATATATATATATATACATAGACACACACACACATATATAGGCGCGTGCAAATATACACATATTTAACTTATTAAATCGATTATAAAATCATTTAAAGAGAGCGAGACAAGTAGAGTATTCAAGGGTGGGGAAGGGGGGTCCAATGGAATTGAAGAAGGAGGGGGCAAATGGTCCATGGTCGTGTCTCCTAGGAAGAGAGTGAGGAATGGACTAACGTGAGCATCATGTTAGATGTTCACAAAATTGACCTAAAAGAGTTATCCATGAAAAAAAAAAAATGGTCCCAGAAGAAATTTAAAGGGACATACACTGTGCCCTAGTTAAAATCTTTTCATGTATACATTCCTAGATTTATATAAGTAATTATGTTGATGTATGTATAGATTATGGGTGTGTATGGTGGGGGCATGTAAACAATGGTTTCACATGCCCTAATAACCCTTGTTCTACTACAAACCACGTGGCCCATCTCTCCATTATTTTTTAGGTTTTTTGTTTAGCAACTATGCATTATATAGAAGTACTATATATGTATATTTATATCCCATTTAAGGGCCTAACATGTATGTATATATATATATATATAGATAAGCCAAATGCAAATCAAATGAGGGGTTGGTGCAACAAATAACAGGGTATTAAAACCTATACATTCCTAAAATCTCATAATGGGACATAATATACATATATATATTTATATATAACATAAGCCAAAATTACATATGATCTACATTGTGCCCTAGTCAAGGGGTACGTAGCCAAGTGGGTATATCATTAACAAGACCCGCTAATTATATAAATTCTTGGCTGTAGAGATACACATTTATATATGTATGTTAATTGGGTTTATTCTTTCTTTTTTAATATAAAATATACAGACATACAAACCCATTATAATTTTTTCAATGTAGCTAGCTTGTTCGTTTAATGGAATCTTTACTGATCAAGAACGCTGTTAATGTTAGTGTGTGGAATATATACATATGTATATATGTTTTGAATATATATATATATATATATGTCTTGTATATGTGTGGCAATTACAATTAGATATAGTTAGGGGATTTGAGATCATGTCTTCACTTGTCATCCCATGAGCATGATGTGTGTTTGTCAAGCCGAAAGGTCGCAAAATAAAATTAACAAATCAATTAGATCATTGTAGTCTACACTGGAAGGACCCATTTGCTGCATGGTAAGATGGATCGAGGGACCTCATTGGCACCCTCGCCATTACAATTTACAAAAGCACTGATTTCGATTATATATTATTATTACAGCTGATTATTTTTCATGTTTCTTAAGTAATTAGTTAATCTTATTAGAGATTTCTGGAGTAAATTTCCCCTGATTATCTAATTATAAGCTTAACTTGCTAATTTCATAATAATATAAAAACTTTATTATCAATGTAAGAT